TTGAACAACACGTGGTGGGAAATGAACATTGCTCGATTGAAAAGCTTGCTGAAACCGTTGTAGTGCGCCATTTGACTCACGTAGAGCTTTGAGTTTCTTGTAAGCGGGCAGTTCAAATTCCTCGTAACCAATGTGAAATAAAAACGTTAATATCTTCGTTAGGAGTTAGTTTCAGTAATTTTCGTTGTGCAAATCGTGTTCTACGTGAAATTCTGGTTCAGAAACATGTATCAGATTGCTTAAATTCGTACCTTGTCTAGTGGTCCATTCACTTTTAGTTTCCGTCAGTGAATAATGTCGTAATCAAAATCGGCAGAATTTCCTTTCCTCGGGATGAGGTTTCATTTTTTCTATTGTCCCACCGCGTAATTATTACCTCTTTTTTTAGAATTCTGAAAGCCTCAAAAAAATTATTTCTATTTGTATCATCTAACCGGCAGCGTTGCCAGCATCAAAGGTTTAATCCCCCGTATCTTTCCAAGGGAGAATCATTTTGAAATGCGATTAGTGCTCACCTTTTTTCTCTGTAGATCGCAGGAGGATGTCTTAAGTTTTCTTCTCATTTTTGGCACTGTACTACCAGTGACGTGGTGTGCTTTGCGGTATATCGATTGATTTTCCATATAAACCTATAGAAAGGGATCTATGAACAGGGTGTTGGCAACGAACACCATAATACTCGATTCTTTACCACAGCTTCAAAAAGGGAAATATCGATAATTGCTCATCAATCAATTATTGGCTCCCCTGGTAAAAATTGTGCCAAAAACCAACACCTATAACAAAAAAATACATCTATCATCGGCCGAACATATTCACGTGTCAGTTACTCCTGGAAATATTTGGGTATACAACCAGCTGTTTCTTTCATGACATTTAATGCACAGGTTGTCACACAATCATAGATGAACAACCCTCTAAATGACTTATCTCGGAGAATTGTACATCTCTATTCGGTGTTATAGAATTATCCCTCCAATTTGATTATTTCGAAAAGATCAACCCTGGTAAAAATTGGCAATAGAATCCGTGTTCCAAAATACCATAGACCTAAATCCGGCTGTACAATTTCTTATAGCCTTTTATACCCGATGGCGACTAAGCAACAGCCAGCCGATAAAGTTTATGCTAAACGTTACTAAATACGGATACTAGGACTTAGTTAGTTTTTGGACTACCGCTCTCTTTTTGTGCCGTAGTATCTTGATTTATTTTGCGAAGAAAGCTCCGTACTTTTGAAGGATGTCTGTCATTAGTAATATGTTGGAGCGCCTTCAATTTCTTATGATACTGTGCAATACCTCTGGTGTGAAATAGTTGCTTCAGACGCCGTGGCACGCTGCGGCGCGGAGGGCGGGCAGGGAATGCTACGGTTCCGCAGACTTTCGTCGGCGGACCGACGCGGCGCGCTGGGCGTCGGCGGATTTTGCAAATCCGCTGACGAAAAGTGCATTTCGGCGTCAGCGTGGTTCCGCTGAAAATCTTGGTTCGTCGCGCCTTTTCGTGAATAGTATCATTGCAAACTGTGGTTGGAAGTGGTTGTGCGTGTTTGTAAAAGATATTAAAATGAATAGAAATCCTAGCAAATTAAGGAAACTGTTAATAATTCAAGAAAGATCATTAAAACGCAGAAAGTTATTACTTATGACACTCCTTTTGGCACATAAAGACCGGGCGTCCACGCATCCCCTATTTGTGAAGCGAAGTTACGAGGGAGCTTTTCGGAATTTAATCCAACATCACCTCAGAAAAGATGACAAGAAATTTAAGGAGTACTTCCGTATGACTCGAGGAGAATTTGATTTGATTTTGAATCACATCAAAAATGGCGCGGACGCTCGCAGCGCCAAGTTCGTCGACACATCTTTTCTAGATGTGTCGACGAAAACTCGTCGCGCCATTCCGTTGCGACCGCGGCGCGGGCGGCGCCAGTTCGTCGCGCTGCGACGAACTTTTGAGAAACCACGCGGATAAAGATTCCTGTGGAGTAGTGTCGGCGCGACGAGCTGGCTTCACGCGAAATGCGTCGACGAAAGTCTGCGGAACCGTAGCTGAACGCGAAACGCGCATTGGCGCCTACAAACCTAACAGGGATACTTCACGCATTGCGCAATGCGTGAAGTATCCCTGTTATGTTTGTAGGCGCCAGTGCGTCGCCGTTCCGTTTTGTGTTAGGCTCTAATATTTGATTTCGCGGAGTCAGCGTTTTTCAACTCATGATTTTGAAATGTTTGCACACTCTGTATGGATTATTCTCATTTTAATTGATGAATAAAAATATGTTTTAAAGGAAAATATAATGTGTGTTTTGTAAATATTAAGGTGGTTCCGTATCAAACTTAATGATTTTCAAAGTACACGAATCTCTACACAATTTCTTATAGCCCTTTATAGCCAATGGCGATAAAGTGTAAAGCCCGGCGATAGGAACTATAGCCCGACTGTATACTTTTGTATAGCTTCGTATAGCCCGGCTATATGATTTGCTCCGCTTTCTACAGCCAGCTATATGATTTTCAATAGCCTTTTTTAGTCGGCTTTAAGAACTCCTATGGTATTTGAAAACGCATCTCCTATCGCCAATTTTTACCAGGGTCACGAACAGCACCAAACCTCTCTTTCTTTTCAGGTTAGAAATTGGCAGGAAAGGAAGGCACTTTACTCGAAAGCTCTGTTTTCCTTGCGTCTCTGGAGGATTATGGTAGTTACGGCTGTCTTATCTGAAACTACGTCTTTTTTTGCGCACTTACGGCTTTCTCATATGTCTTGTTTTCATATGAATAAAACGAATTTTGCTGTATTAAGTATTTCAGTGATTTCATTTAAAAGAGATTAGACGAATTTTGAAGGGAACTGGATTTCGAAAATGTATTAGTCCTCAGTTTAACAGCGGTTCCTCCAGCTATCACGGCAGACCAGGACCTTTCCCCCCAAAACGGATATTTCACCGCAGAAAAGAGCCGGGAGTTTTTCGCCAGCCAAATTCCTGGAGACTCGGAGCCAAAGAGTTGTAAACAACCCCTAAGCGAGGGGAGGCCATGAAAGGGGTCTACGAGGGGGCCCCGAGTGGATTGTTGGATCCGAGGGGAGCGGAGAGGGGGTTTTACTCCGCTTTATTCGCGGTTCAGCGAGTTTGATCACGCCTTGTTGACGCTCTCGTCAGCACCCCCCGCCCCCGCCCCCACCCTCAACCACCCCCACCATCCGCCTTGGACGTCTTCGTCTCCTTCTCTCTGAAAACACTCCTTCCCGTCTCGAAACGCCTTTGATTTCGCCTCGATTTTAATTAATCACCTAAATCCCTGTTTCCAACACTTTTTCCGCGGCTGCGGCTGCGGCTGCGGCTGCGTTTGAATTCCCGCAACGCGCCCGTCGAGCGGTAACAAGCAGATTTCGTCGCTCCCCTGACAAAAGAGAGTAACTGCTTTTTGAGCTGAGCTCCATTGTCCGTGTACAGAGTGTCTACTGTACGGAAAAAGTACGGATTTCGGCGGGTCGGTACGGAAGCACGGAAAATGCACGGATTTGCAAAGACATGCAAGGTACGGAAATTCGAGGGGGGTATGCGATGTCCATTTGTTAAATTCCCGATGCGACTACTCCTGTTTTTTGGGTTATTCCCCCGTCATTCCGTCATTCCATTTTCCTAATCCGAATGCAGTTAAAAATGCGTGTGAGGTGGAAAAAAAAGTAAGGAAAAAGCAAGGATTTTTAAGAATTGCCAAAATATGAATTTTCGGGAAAGTAAGGAAAAAGCAAGGAAAAGATACTGCATAAGTAAAGAATTTGAATGATAGAGTACCCCGGTACCAATGGACACCCTGATATAACTCCATGATTTGCAGGGCTCGCGTGGAGATAGAGGGATACGCCCTTATGTCAAAGATACGACGATTCCTATCACGACTTATTGACGTGACAAAATTCGCTATCCTAGACGGGATGAATCGAAGACACGTCGGGTAAATTAAAGGCAACGCCTGGATACAACTATACATGCTCCACGGATGCCCGTGTTGCGTGCACGAGGAATTGCAGGCGCCCTAACTGTCTTAATCACAGCGCCTGCTTTCAACTGCTCGTTTTCGAAGAATCTCACTGCTCGTGAGCAATCGTGCTGATCGCAAAGAACCTCAGGATTTGAGTGAGCCATATGGAGTGGAATCGCCGGGGAAATTGTGACAATTTCAGGGTTCCCGGCGCACAGTGGATCGAGTCAATTAGAGAGGTCGGGCATCAAATTTGAAACTTAAACTGCAAATTTTAATGTTTATTTCGTCACATTTTAATTATCAAGAGGTGCTTTAGCAGGAAACTTCACGAGGAAACCAATGGTACCACTTTCAAAACCCAAAAATTTCGTAGTAACGGAGTTATGAGCTTTTAAAGTTTCCAAATTTTGTTCGACCTCTCATTAACTCGATCCACCGTGCGGCGGCTAAATCCGACGGGAAAATCAAGGAACCCGCGGCGACTTGGAAACGACAGGGAAAGCCAGGGAATTCATATGAAAATTTGTGGAATGCCGCGAGTTGCGTATCGGCTCAGCAACTTCGGCCGTTCATATTCTATAAAGAACGCGAACAACCTCCTTGTGCCTTTCTCCGTGAGCTGAGTCTCAAGAAGTCGAAACTCTGTCAAACGGTGAGAGCAAATCGACGTAATCTGAAAGGAATACGAAGTTTTTTTCAAACGTCAGGGAACGTAAGAAAATTCGGAAATTTTCGAGTCAGGAAAGTGCCAGGGTCTGAAAAAACGAAGAAATTATGGAAACCCTGATCATTTCAATTGTTCTATAGGGGTTTCCTTCGAAGGGAATTCACTAAGTAACATTTCCTGCAGCCTCTCAAAGTGTAATTAGAAGTTAAGGTCAAAACTAATGTCTTTATATCTCGAGGGAAGGTATCTTAAAGGTGGCAGCACTCTGCACTCTATTTCTCGTACTTGTACTAGCAATTTGTATTATTCTAATTCCTCTTTTTGTTTGTGTGTGCTCACAGGAAGTTGGCAGTATTATTGGAAAAGGAGGAGAAATAGTCAAAAGGTTTCGAGAAGAGGTAAGACAATTAGTTTTAATCACTCTTGTTACCAGTTCTTCAGTTTCAGAGCAATTATTTCCTCACCATTTTTCTTTGCCATTTTTCTATCAATTAGGGGCCGTCCGTAGATTACGTAACGCGTTGGGGTGGAGGAGGGGGTCTTTGCCAGCGTTAACGCGGCGTTACAAGAGGTGGAGGGAGTATAGAGCGAGGCGTTACTTGACAAGTTTAAGTTATTTGATCTAAAGTTCAAGGAAAACAATTAGAACATGAAATTATCTGGTGAATCGTATGTTTCTTAAAAATGATTGTTTTATTGTATCAATTTTGTTGAACCTCTCGTCGGTCGTCTTGAGAAGTTTTAAAGAATCTCGAAAATATTCTCTGCAATACTTTCCCTTTTCCTCACTAAAGAGGAACGCGTTTGATCATTCGCCGTTCGGTAAATCTGAGGTGATATTTAGATTATGTTTTATCCAAATTAGGA